TTTAAGAAGCAAATACAAGCTAGGTATGTGGGTAGTGTGCTGGGTGCTGCACTGGGTGATTCTGTGCTGGGTGCTGTGCTGGGTGTTGTGCAGGGTGCTCTGCGGGGTGATGCTGTGTTGAGTGATGCTGTGTTGGGTGATGCTGTGTTGGGTGATGCTGTTTTGGGTGACGCTGTGCTGGGTGATGCTGTGTTGAGTGATGCTGTTTTGGGTGACGCTGTGCTGGGTGATGCTGATCTAGGTACTGTGCTGAGTGATGCTGTGCTGTCTGTTGCTCTGCTAGGTGATGTTGTGCTGCATGATGCTGTGCTAGGTGATGCTGTGCTGTGTGATGCTCTGCTAGGTGATGCTGTGCTGGGTGATGCTGTGCTAGGTGATGTGCTGTGTGATGCTGTGCTAAGTTAAGCTGTGCTGTGTGCTGTGTTGGGTGATGCTGTGCTAGGTGATGCTGTGCTGTGTGATGCTGTGCTAGGTGATGCTGTGCTGTCTGATGCTGTGCTGGGTGCTGTGCTAGGTGATGCTGTGCTAGGTGATGCTGTGCTGTGTGATGCTGTGCTAGGTGATGCTGTGCTGTGTGATGCTGTGCTGTGTGCTGTGCTAGGTGCTGTGCTAGGTGATGCTGTGCTAAGTGATGCTATGCTGTGTGCTGTGCTAGGTGCTGTGCTAGGTGATGCTGTGCTAGGTGATGCTGTGCTAGGTGATGCTGTGCTAAGTGATGCTGTGCTGGGTGCTGTGCTGTGTGCTGTGCTAGGTGATGCTGTGCTAGGTGATGTGCTAGGTGATGCTGTGCTGTGTGATGCTGTGCTAGGTGATGCTGTGCTGGGTGATGCTGTGCTAAGTGATGCTGTGCTAGGTGATGCTGTGCTAGGTGATGTGCTAGGTGATGCTGTGCTAAGTGATACTGTGCTGAGTGATGCTGTGCTAGGTGATGCTGTGCTGGGTGATGCTGTGCTAAGTGATGCTGTGCTAGGTGCTGTGCTGGGTGATGCTGTGCTAAGTGATGCTGTTCTGGATGATGCTGTACTAGGCGATGCTGTGCTAGGTGATGCTGTGCTAGGTGATGCTGTGCTGGGTGATGCTCTGCTAGGTTATGCTGTGGTAGGTGATGCTGTGCTATGTGATGCTGTGCTAAGTGATACTATGCTGGATGATGCTGTGCTAGGCGATGCTGTGCTAGGTGATGCTCTGCTAGGTGATGCTGTGCTAGGTTATGCTGTGCTGTGTGATGCTGTACAAAGTGGTGCTGTGCTGGGTGATGCTGTGCTAAGTGATGCTGTTCTGGATGATGCTGTGCTAGGCGATGCTGTGCTAGGTGATGCTCTGCTAGGTGATGCTGTGCTAGGTTATGCTGTGCTGTGTGATGCTGTACAAAGTGGTGCTGTGCTGGGTGATGCTGTGCAAAGTACTCACCTAGTTGTGGTTGCAGGGGTAGAGCCATAGCTCCTGGCCCCGCCTCTTCACTGGTCGCTACTAGGTCACTCTCCCTGAACCATTAGCTTTATCATACCTCTGCTTAAAGCTATGTATGGATCCTGCCTCCGCTACATCGCTTCCCAAACTATTCCACTTACTGACTACTCTGTGGCTGAAGAAATACTTCCTAACATCCCTGTGATTCATCTGTGTCTTCAACTTCCAACTGTGTCCCCTTGTTACTGTGTCCCATCTCTGGGAAATCCTGTCTTTGTCCACCTTGTCCAATTCCTCTCAGTATTTGTATGTCGTTATCATGTCCCCCCTATCTCTCCTGTCCTCCAGTGTCGTCAGGTTGATTTCCCTTAACCTCTCCTCTTAGGACATACCTCTTAGCTCTGGGACTAGTCTTGTGGCAAACCTTTGCACTTTCTCTAGTTTCTTTACATGCTTGGCTAGGTGTGGGTTCCAAACTGGTGCCGCATACTCCAATATGGGCCTAACGTACACGGTGTACAGGGTCCTGAATGATTCCTTGTTAAGATGTCGGAATGCTGTTCTGAGGTTTGCTAGGCACCCATATGCTGCAGCAGTTATTTGGTTGATGTGTGCCTCAGGAGATGTGCCTGGTGATGCTGTGCTAGGTGATGCAGTGCTAGGTGATGCTGTTCTGTGTGATGCTTTTCTAAGTGATGCTGTGTTGGGTGATGCTGTTCTAAGCGATGCTGTGCTGGGTGATGCTGTGCTAAGTGATGCTGTGCTAGGAATACTTAAGACTGACGTTGCAACATGAGACAGGTAAATAATTGAAAAAGGTACTTGACATACCAGAAGAAATACTGACAAAAACTCCAGCTAGACCACAACTCCCAGTCCACCAGCTAGTCCACCACACAGTCCACCATGCAGTCCACCACCCAGTCTACCACCTAGTCCACCACGCAGTCCACCACCCAGTCCACCACGCAGTCCACCACCCTCCCCACCACCCAGTCGACCACCTAGTCTACCACCCAATCTATCACCCAGTCCACCATTCAGTCCACCTCCCAGTCCACCACACAGTTCACCACACAGTCCACCACCCAGTCCACCATGCAGTCCATAACTCGTATAGCAGATAGGAATCAAACCCCACCAACCAACCAACCAGTCTGGTAAATACGGTTCATTTTCCACTGCATCGAGCAAGAGTCAATATTTGAGCAACAAGAAATGCAATATTTGCAACATGGGGACCATTCCTCTGTTAATATACCTCACCATCGATGCTTTTGATGACAGTGTTTACCCCAGTAAATGTACAATTCTTTTTTGGGAGCCATTTATTGATTCCTTCCCGAAAAAAATGGTAGTTTAAGTTACCCAGTCGTGTTTCAGCCTACCAGTCTGCTAGTCAACCAATATACCTGTCTACCAGTCTACTGGTCTACCAGTTTACTAATCTGTCTACCAGTCTACTAGTCTACCAATCTACCAGTCTACTAGTCTACCAGTTTCAAGAATTATAATTGTTATTTTTATTAATTAGTTATTATAATTGCTGTTTTTATAATTATCATTATTAATTAGCTATTATAATTGCTATTATGATTGCAATTATTATTACTATTTTTAGTTATTATAATATTGCTATTACTGTATTGTATTATAATTATTATTACTCTTTTTACGCAAACGGGTGAGTACGAATAGGAAGAGCGTGTGTCGAGCTCAGCAGACGGAGGATCAAGCCTCCACCACGTCTTGCGCTGAATGACCCACATGGGTTTAGCGCTATTATTATACATATTAAAAAAAAATATTACTCTTTTTACAATTATTATTGCTAATGGTAATAATTTTGTAATTATCATGGTTATAATTTTGTAATTATTATTAATAATTCTATATGCATTGGGAAGTGTGTAATAGGCAGGGCCAGGAGCTGAGACTCGACCACTGCTGCAACAAGTTGGTGATCACAGCTCCTGGGATGATGAGAACAGTTTGGGATGATTGAGTTTTGATCCGAGGAATGGGACAATAGGTCTAGTTCCTTGGATTAAGAGCCCATCTAAAAGTTCAGTAGAAATATAATCATTCGTTGATTAATATTATAATGTTCAAAAAAGCACTAAACATGAATGAGGTGTTTATAATGTTTGAGTGATGGTCAATTTTACTCTGACACTCGAGCCAGTCTATTTCTCTCTCTCTCTCTCTCTCACTATTTTACCTATCTCAGAACCTCTCGCTCGACACTGACGAAGGTCTCTCGGTGCAGGATGAGAAGTCTAACATTATTTTGTGTCCGGATGGTGATTAAAAAGTCCATCAATCACAGTAAGCCCGGGACAAATCACAGTGAATGACTGTGAATGATGGAACAGACAAATGAACACCATAGATCCTTCCTTCACATTTGACCTCACTTCAAGTCCCCATCAATTTTACTATTTCAAACACATACACACAACCGCAGAGACGGGGCCAGGAGCTATGATTCGACCCCTGCAACTACAATTAGGTGAGTACACACACACCCCCCCAACATACTCAGAGGAATTGCAAGGGTGGACAGTGACTGTCTGAGAGACGAGAAACGGGAACTCAGGGACACAGCTGGAAATTAAAAACGTAAATGAACCACAGGGATGTAAGGGTAGTTGAGCGAGTGGTACAGTGCAATAAGAACCGATCGGGGTACATAGTACTGTATCTTTGAGAGGATGCCTACTGTTTTGAAGACTTTCTTGGATATTTGCTGTACGAGAGTTTGGAACTTGAGATTGCAGTGTAGGTGGAGACCTAGAAATTTGCCCTCTGTTTGTCTAGAAATGGATGAACTTTTTATCAGTATGTTTAGCTGTGCATTTGTAGCTCTGTTTCCAAACAGCATAAAATGGGTTTTGTCTATATTGAGAGTAAGTTTGTTGGTGGTCATCCAAGTCGATATTTTTAGTAGTTCGGCATTTACAGTCTGTTAGTATGGTTGGGTTTGGGTGAGAGAAGACATAAGTAGTGTCATCTGCAAATAAAATGGGTTAAGGAGTTTGGATGCATTTGGGAGGTCATTGATGTAAATGAGAAAGAGAAGTATGCCAAGGACACTCCCCTGTGGGACTCCAACAAGAACTAGTTGTGTAGTGGAATTAGCTCCACTTGTGTGTACACATTTTCATTAAACATGCTGGCTGCCTTCCACCAAGGCAGGGTACCCCCCCCCCCCCCAAAAAAAAAAAACTTTTACTATCATTTACACTATCATGGTAATTAGATTAAGTGCTAAACCTGAGAGGGGTCCAAGAAAGGGGAGGACAGCCCCAATTCCTTGCACCAACACAATAAACACACAAATGCAGTATAATGTGATCCTTTATTGGCAAGGTTTCACCCATACATTGAGCTTTATTGAGTCTGTGATTTAAACCCAGTGTGTGGGCAAAATACTGTCAATAAAGGATTGCATTATACTGCATTCATCCCTCTCTTTTCCATCCTCCTGAGACAGAAACTGTGGGGGACAAGCAGTCCCACAACAGGAAAATATTAAAAAAAGCAACACTGATTGAGCTTCAGGATCAAATTGTTATAAAGAAATACGCTATCAAACAAAATTTTATTATATTTCCAATACATAATATAACTGGAGATTGACACACATCTTGTACATCTTTGTACAGCTTTAAACCCCAAAAATTAGTACTTTATACCACTGGATACTAATAAACACAGGCATTTCTTGTAAATAATAATGTTAAAATTTATTCCCTTTATATAACATACAGTGGACCCCCAAGTTTCGTGATTAATCCATTCCAGAGAGCCTGCTGAAAGTCGAAATTGCCATATGGCGAAACCATTTTCCCCATAAGAAATAATGGAAATAAAATTAATCCATTCCAGACACCCAAAAATGTTAAAATAATTTTTTTTTTTCAAATTAAATAAAGATTTACATACTGAAAACAATGAGAAATCAAGTATGTACATGCATATAAAAAATAACAACAACATTACACTTACTTTTACTGAAGACTTCTGGGTGGATGGAAGATGGGAGGAGGGGATAGGAGGAAGGTGTACACTATTGTTTGGAAGGAGAATCTCCTTCCATTAGAACTTCAGGTATGAAGTCCTTATCTGAGGTTACTTCCCTTTTTTGTTTTTTAAAGACACTGGCACTGGGAACAACTTGAAAGTCAATGGAACCCTGTTGCACAAAATATCTGTCCAGAGAGCTCTGTTTCTGGCATTTCTTTAAGATTTGTCTGAAGTGGGGGACAACACTGTCATTGTACATGTTGCTAATATGGCCTGCAACAGCTTTGTTAGATTTGATTTCTTAGAAAAAAAAAAAAGTCTAATCAGTGAAATATGGTAGAAAAGGGCCTGAAGGTAGTATATTCAAGATTTCAGAATATATCCCTATTTTTTAAATGTTAAATAATTCCTTTATTTGGTTGCACTACATCCTTCTCATAAACAAGGGATACCTGACTTACAGTACTGTATTTGATATTTTACGTACAGTAAATATGTACATGTTTGACAAAAAATGAGAAGTTTTAAGTTGGTTAAACTGAAGTACAGTGGTACCTCAAGTTACAAACTAAATTTGTTCCAGAAGGCTGTTCAAGTGCCGATACCAAATTTGTTCCCATAAGGAATAATGTAAATTACATTAGTCCATTTCAGATCCCCTAAAAATATACTTACAAAAGCACTTACAAAAATACACTTACATAACTGTTCAATTTGGGAGCTGTTCGAAACTCGAGGTACCACTGTATATTTTTCCTGATACGCCAAAAGTTTGCTTATGCTGTATCACAAATGACTAAAGGACCACAGTCAACACGAATACTTGTAATTAAACCTGAAATACTTGACTATAAGTCTCGCCAAGAATCCCAGCTGAAATAAATTTGCATAATGTGAAGTACAGTATATCTTTATGACCTAAATTTCTTGAAAAGAAAATGCTGATGGTCTTTTTTGGATCCCTTTCGTCTCTCACCATAAATTGAGTCATCAGCTCCAGACATTGATCCCATGTTGCCCATCCGACGGTGAGAACCAGACGCTCCACGCTCATTAGAAATGCCTTCCTCGTACATATCTGCTTCAGAAGCAGCCAAGATTTGCTCCAGGAGCTGCACTTTTTCTTCTCGTGTGGTATAGTGAAGCTGTTGCTCCGTCATGCCCAACAGCTGCGTTGGTGTAATAACTCTGTATGCATAACCCTGATTGATGAGAAAACTCTGTCTCTTTCGGGAGTATCCCATTTCTCGAGTGTCCTGGGATAGAAGAGCATAAAAAAAAGCATTGTAAAGCTCTGCTACAGGGCCCTTTTTAGCTCTCAGAATACGGCCCAATCTCTGAGCCTCCTGTCGACGGGACCCACCTTGTGAAGAAATTTCAATCAGGACATTTGCTTCTGGTATATCAAATGATGTGTCTGCCACTCGGCTAAAGAATATTGTATTCACCTTTGGATTCAACTTAAAGTTCTGAATGATAGCCATTCGCTCCTTCTGCCCAGTCTTTCCACATATAAACGGTCTCTGAATAGTTTTTGCGTAATGGGATAATGCAAAAACTTCATCAATGAAAACAATTATCTTGTCATTGCGATTTTCATGGTACTTGATGAGGAACTCACAAGTTCGGAATTTATTGGGATTCATAGCACAAAGTAACTTAATTTTCTGGTCAGATACTTTCCCCATCAAATATTCACGATAGAACTCAGGAGTCATAGGGCACCACACTTCGGCACATTGTACCTTGGCAATGAATCCCTCTTTTTGTAGCTCCAGCCAGTTTGCTTCATACAACTTTGGACCAATCAGAAAATTTAGATCAGCAATCTTATCATCTTCCCTCACCAGTGTTGCTGTTAGTCCTAGCTTACAATGAGACTGAACAATTGTGAGAACTCTTCTGAACATTTTGGCAGGTATAGTATGCACTTCATCTAGAACCATTATGCCCCACTCTTGATCCTTTAGCCAGTTCATTGTCTGTTCTGCTTCATAAGCACGCTTCTGGCTATGAGAAATCATGGCATAAGTTGTTACCAAGATACCAGCATTAAATGGCTTGTCTTTTGCATCAGATGTAAACCTACAGATCATGTCATCTGTGGCTGTGGACCACATCTTAAACTGCTGTTTCCATTGCTCTACAGAAACACCCGAATTACACAAAACTAAAGCCTTTTTGTTAACTGTACAACAGGCTGTAACACCGACTAAACTCTTCCCTGCTCCACAAGGAAGCACTATTATACCAGATCTTGCACGTCCATTTCCAAACATTTTTCGTAGGCTTTTCTCTTGATAAGGTCTTAATACTGCAGATGGCTTAAGATCAATTTTAATATCCTCATTTACTGTGTCATTCTTAAAATCATACTCAGCCAGCAAAGGATAATCAAGTCCTATACATGTTTTTTGCAGCATTTCAATTCTGTCTTGATTAACTTCAAAAGATAAAGTTTTAAGATTTTTATCTTCCTCTTCCTCTTCATCAGCTTTATCAATTTTATCATAAAAATCTGTTATATCTTCAGGTACAACACCCCCATCTTCCTTAACATTACCATTAGAAGCATCACCTTCGGTCTTTCCATCAGTTTTTGAGTCTTCAGAGCCCCCTGCCATTTGAGCTTGATGACTAGTAAACACGATAGCTTGAGATTTTTGCTTCTCGGTGCTAACTATGCCTTCGTTAGGACTCAGCATGCATTCCTGGATAGTTGGATTTTTAATGAGCTTTTGGATAACATCTGGGAAATCACTCTCAACATAATAACGATTTTTCTTCAAGACCAACTTGACTTTACCATAGGAGAGAGTGCAACTTTGTATGAATTGGCATATTCCAGGAGGTAAGCTTGTTTTACATAATCTCTTGAGATATTCTATTATGTCATGGGTCTGCAAACCAACACTAACTGCAGCATAGAGTGAGTATGCTGTCAATTTGTATTCGTGTACGTGTTCTGGACGACAAACAGGTTCAGCAATGGTAATAAGGAAATCCTTAGCATGCTTATACACAGGAGAGAAAGATTCCAAAAAGATGTGACCATTGGTTGCAATCCACAGTGGTCGTGTTTCATGATCATCTCTAAGTTCCATTTGTGATCGGTAATCAAAAGCTCCATACTGATCCTTCGGAGTTGTCTTATCTCCATCCTCCTGAAATTAAAATTTAATGTATTAAACAATAGCCCTTATTATATCAGCACATATAGTATGAAAATCAATTAATAAACCTAACATATTACATAGAAAAGCTGGAAATCATGAAAGGTTTAATAAATGAAAAGCATGATGTGATAGATCAGAATGTGATCAGGCTAAAAAGGAAAGGAAAACTGAGCAAAATACTGGTGTAACTATGACACTATCCATTAGTAACAGATAAGAGGAGGAAGCAAGCAAGCATACATATCACTGAGTGAAGATTACAACAGTACAATAAATATTTCTCGTGGTTCAAGGAGTTTGCATGTGAAATTCAATTTTAAAAGGTTAAAGTTACTGATGTAAGTACTTTTGCAGTTCAATGACAAATATAGAATAAAGAAGATAGTTTTGAGGATGGATTAGAGAGAAACTGGTATGATAAAAGAAGTTGTAAATAACAGTCCCTGACAATGATATAGTGGATAAGCATGGTTTTCTAAGCACAGTAGGACCACCTATCTGCAGGGAATATGTTCCAAGAACCTGCTGCAGATACCAACACCACAGAGTGTAGCAAACCCTATATATAAGTTGTTTTTCATTTACATACATAAATGTATGAAAGAGGGGAAGGTACCTAGGGACTGGCAGAGAGCATGTATAATCCCTTTATATAAAGGGAAAGGGGACAAAAGAGATTGTAAAAATTATAGAGGAATAAGTTTACTGAGTATACCAGGAAAAGTGTACGGTAGGGTTATAATTGAAAGAATTAGAGGTAAGACAGAGTGGGTAGGGGATGTGTAGATCAAGTGTTTACATTGAAGCATATATGCGAACAGTATTTAGAGAAAGGTAGGGAAGTTTTTATTGAATTTATGGATTTAGAAAAGGCATATAATAGAGTGGATAGAGGAGCAATGTGGCAGATGTTGCAAGGATGTATATGGAATAGGTGGTAAGTTACTAAATGCTGTAAAGAGTTTTTATGAGGATAGTGAGGCTCAGGTTAGGGTGTGTAGAAGTAGGTCTTAGACAGGGATGTGTAATGTCACCATGGTTGTTTAACCCTTTGAGGGTTTCGGACGTACTAGTACGGCTTACGACCCAGGGTTTTTGACGTACTAGTACGCCTAAATTCTAGCGTCCTCAAATCTAGTGGGAGAAAGCTGGTAGGCCTCCATATGAAAGAATGGGTCTATGTGGTCAGTGTGCACGGTATAAAAAAAATCCTGCAGCACACAGTGCGTAACGAGAAAAAAAAAACTTTGACCGTGTTTTTCGATTAAAACAGCGAATTTGCACTCTATTTTCGTATGGTATTTATTGTTGTATTCTAGTTTTCTTGGTCTCATTTTATAGAATGGAAGACATATTACAGAAACTGAGATGATTTTGACTGGTTTTACAATGAAAAGTACCTTGAAATTGAGCTCAAAGTAGCAGAAATGTTCGATTTTTACCAAAGTTCAAAAGTAAACAAATCATGCTAAGCGTCCAATACACATCAACTGGTGAGTCTAATATCTTTCGCAAGTGTGCTGATATTATTTATACCATTTCTACACTAATGCAGTAGTCTGCATAACAGTAAATCTTATTTTTTTTGTAAGAATAAAAATTCAAAGTGGAAAGCCAAAGAAATATAAGAGGGTCCTGGGGATGTGACTAACGAACAGAGAACTTGTTATTTTAGTGCCAGGAATGTCTTTCTTGTTTATTCTGGACCCTATTCGGAAATTGGCATCTTTTGAAATTTGTGTGAAATTGGCAAAATTGCTAAATTCTGACCACTTTATTGGATAGTTTAAATCGGTAAATGGGTGGTTTCTTGTACTCATTCGATAGAAAAAATGGGGTTCTAGCAAAATAGTTATGATTTTGTCGACTAGTACACTGGAATTGCCCAAAAATAGGGCTCAAAGTGGGCAAAATCACCGATGCGTAAACATCGTTGAGACCAACAACTTCACGAGAGCATAATTCCCTAAGTTTTCCATCAAATTTCATACTTTTGGCGCCATTATGATTGGGAAAAGATTCTCTATCTTTTCATAAGAAAAAATTTTTTTTTTTTTTTTTTGAAATTTGGCCGACCCTGAGAACAAGTCTCTGAGAGGACCTGTCGACCCCCAAAGGGTTAATAATTAAAACATTGAGAAAAGGCAATGAGATATTTTCTTCAAACTCAACAGTAAAATTTATAGGAGCTAAACATGAAAGATATGCAAAAAAATGTACATTATAAGTTTTTTTTTTTTTCCAACAAGTCGGCTGTCTCCCACCGAGGCAGGGTGACCCAAAGAGAAAGAAAATCCCCAAAAAGAAAATACTTTCATCATCATTCAACACTTTCACCTCACTCACACATAATCACTGTTTTTGCAGAGCTGCCCAGAATACAACAGCTTAGAAGTATATATGTATAAAAATACACAATATATCTCTCCAAACTGCCAATATCCCAAACTCCTCCTTTAGAGTGCAGGCACTGCACTTCCCATTTCCAGGACTCAAGTCCGGTTATATAAAATAATCGGTTTCCTTGAATCCCTTCACTAAATATTACCCTGCTCACACTCCAACAGCTCGTCAGGTCCCAAATACCATTTGTCTCCATTCACTCCTATCTAACACGCTCACGCAGGCTTGCTGGAAGTCCAAACCCCTCTCCCACAACACCTCCTTTACCCCCTCCCTCCAACCTATTCGAGGACGACCCCTACCCCGCCTTCCTTCCCCTACAGATTTATACGCTCTCCATGTCATTCTACATTATAAGTATTGTACATAATGTATTTTAGTTGAGAAAAGCAATAAAGAATTTCTGAATGAAAAATACTTTTAATTATTTTACAGCTAAAGACTGATCAAATTAACCTGAATGTCATTTGGGCTGAGCATAAAGAATACCTAGTTAAAATACCAAATAAGTTAGTGTTGCACTAACTGGGAAAAGATTGAAAGGAAGTACTTGGTGGGATGAAGCAGCACTTGGCATATATGTAAGTTTATTTAGGCACAGTTACACATAAGTTCAATTATCATACATAGTGAAAATTACCTAGGATAATACCCCCAGAAAAGTCAGATAAAGTGACTTAATTCCAATGAGGTACTTCTTAAGAAAATAATGAAGTGGATTCTGTTGATTCAGAGTATGGGGTCATGTGAAGACTGGCACAATGAAAGAAAACATAAATGAAGAATTTGGAAGAAAGAATCTATTACTATAATCCCCTGATTAGCAAAAATTTCCTTAAGTGTGATTTCAGTTAGCAAATATAGATATATCAAGAACGCTTACACTTGAAGAATGAGACACTCTTGCAACATTTGGGAAACTCTACTGAGGAAATGTTTTGGCAATCACTGGCTTCTTCAGTTCAATACAGAGAAGAACAGTGTTAAATGAGAAGGAGAATGAGGTAATCAGTCACTCAGCCTGGAGTCAATGTGTTCAGTCCACAGTAAAGTTACCCAAATGTTGCAAAAGTGTCTCATTCTTGAACTTGTCAATTTTCTAAACCATTTACATCACACACACACACACATTTACACTTAGCAGGAACCTGTTACCTTTTCCTATTCACAACTATGGAAACCCCGAATTATTTTTAGAAACTTTGCACTCTCCTACACAAACTTTTTTCAGCAAATCTTTAACTTACATATCCCTAAACTCATTTACTATATAAATTAGAGTATTATACATAAATGACTACTGTACAACACAGCAAATACTTTTGTGTTAAAAACGAAGTAGAGTAGGGCCCCATTTATATGGCAGGTTAGGTTCTGGGCTACAGCCGTAAAGTGGAAATTACCACAAAGTGGAACGCCATTTTTGTCTACTTATAAATGCACATAAATATCAGATAACAAGTTTACACTAACATATATTAAGTTGGCAATAGAACTAGGTACTAAAAAACAATAAAAAAGTAAAATACACATATAGTATATTCATTACTTACCTTAAAATATTTGTAAAATAATGTAGGGTGAGATGAATAGTATTTATTGTAAGAAATCAAGTGTGGTATGTATGGTAGCCAGCGAAACAACCATACCTACCATACCAGGCCCACCCACCCACACATAATATTCTATGACATTTAAAGCATCCCAGAGCAATAAAATGCACACAGGTCTCCCTCAACATTTGCGTTTTCCACTTCTGCAGGCTTCGAACATTCGCGAATTCCCAACCGCCAAATTCCCAGCCTCCAAATCACATTTATGTTGAGGACTTTGAAGGTGGTGAACGACATTGATAGAGGTATAAGTCCCTACAAAACTCTCTTTGTAGATATGAAGAAATGGTCTCAGCTGCCCATCACAATGTTTTTCACAAGGAAACCTGCCACAACAGCCCCCATCCCTTTACACAAGGTTTTATCGAAGCTAAAACCTTGGGTAGTTTCAAATTTAGGTTGGTTAACCCTCTAACTGTCCAAACGTAGATCTACGTTTGTGCACGTAGCTCTCCGCCCTCGATTTTCTCCATAAGAAAGAATGTAAAAAAAATGTAGATCTACATTTGGAGCGCTACGCAAGCAAACGTAGATCTACGTTTGGACAGTTTAAGGGCTAAATACATGAGTGAGAGAGGTTGGATTTGAGTGGGACTTGCACCTGAGCAAATAGAATTATAAGAACATAAGAAAGGAGGAACACTGCAGCAGGCCTGTTGGCCCATACTAGGCAGGTCCTTCACAATCCATCCCACTAACAAAATATTTGCCCAACCCAATTTTCAATGCTACCCAAGAAATAAGCTTTGATAATTCTATTTGCCCATGTGCAAGTCCCACTCAAATCCAACCCCTCTCACTCATGTATTTATCCAAGGCTACCCAGATTTCAGCCTCAATAACCCACCTAGGCAGACTGTTCTGCTCATCAACTACCCTATTTCCAAACCAATACTTTCCTGTATCCTTTCTTAATCTAAACTTGTCTAATTTGAATCCATTACTGCGGGTTCTCTCTTGGAGAGATATCCTCTAGACCTTATTTATATCCCCTTTATTGATACCCATCTTCCACTTACACACTTCCATCATGTCTCCCCTCATTCTTTGTCTAACAAGTGAATGCAATTTAAGGGTCTTAAATATTTCTTCATAAGGAAGATTTCTAATGCTATGTATTAATTTAGTCATTCTACACTGAATGTTTTCTAATGAATTTATGTCTATTCTATAATGTGGAGACCAGAACTGAGCTGCGTAATCTAGGTGAGGCCTTACTAATGATGTATAAAGCTGTAATATAACCTCTGAACTTCTGTTGCTTACACTTCTTGATATACATCCCAGTAATCTGTTTGCCTTATTATGTACGCTTAGGCATTGCTGTCTTGGTTTAAGGTTACTGCTCACCATAACCCCCAAGTCCTTTTTGCAGTCTGTATGGCTAAGTTCTACATTATTTAACTTATAAGTACTAGGGTTATGGACACTCCTGAACTTCAGAACCTTGCATTTATCTACACTGAACTGAATCTGCCATTTTTCTGACCAGGTATTGAGTTTGTCTAAATCCTCCTGAAGTTCCCTGATATCTACGTTTGAATCAATTATCCTACTTATCTTTGTGTCATTGACGAATTTACTCATATCACTTGTAATATCCTCATCAAGATCATTGATATATATTATAAACAACAACGGGCCTAAGACTGATCCCTGTGGAACGCCACTTGTTACAGATCCCCACTCGGATTTAACCCCATTTATGCTCACTCTCTGCTTCCTGTCTGTGAGCCATGACTCGATCCATGAGAGCACTTTTCCCCCAATGCCACAAGCTGCCACTTTCTTTAACAGTCTTTGGTGCGGTACTCTATCAAAAGCCTTACTAAAATCTAAATAAGCAATATCAAACTCTCTTTCGTGATCAACAGCCTCAAAAGCTTTACTGAAGAAAGTTAATAAATTAGCTAGACAAGAATGGTCTCTCATGAATCCATGCTGAGTATTATTAATCAGATTATGCTTATCAAGATGGCTGCTTATAATCTCAGCTATAATTGACTAGCAATTTGCTAGTCAATTTTGTAAACAAACCAGGTGAACGCATCTGGTTTGTGTACAAGTTACAGTGTGTACAAGTTGTCTCCACATTGATACAGTAGAATAAATAAAGAGCAACACTCCCATTCTCATGTAACACCATTTTTAGATGAACTGACGCTGAGTAAAGGCATACGAAACGAATAATTTTCCACAGTTACCCCCAGTAATATTACAGTGTATACATTTTCTCTGGCGTTGGACTAGAGAAAACATTATTCTTGCCGTCACTCTTACAAGTTGTCTGGCTACCACATTTCATATTTATGTTAATTTATTCTACTGTGGGGTGTATTTATCATGTTTATATGTTACATATCATGTTTATTATATAATTTTGAAAAAATATCATAGCTGGATTAATGAAAATGTGTATGTTAATGTAATATATGACATTTAATGAGACTCCGTGATTATCATTGTTAATATGGCATCTCGAGACATAAGACACTCTTACTGATTTTAATGTGTACCTGCACACCAGCACAGTGTGTAAGTTTATTTAGGTGCAGGTTTTACAATAAATATAATTATCAGAGTGTATATATAAAATATGAAATAACTTTTAAAAACACTTGAAATTTTGGAAAGTTTCGAGACATAATGGAGAGACGCAGTGCTCACAGAGAATGCAAATAAACCAGGTGGGGTGCAGTGGCCATATTAAAAAGTTAGGTGGGGGAGCCATATAGCGAGTTTTGGTCCTAATTTGAAATGTCCATATTAGCGGAACACTGTAAAGCAAAATGCTGTAAAGCGGGGCCCTACTGTATACCTAAAGCAAAATTAGCCACCACGTGAAATTCTTACTTCAACATTTTGTGTAGATGCTTGTGGTACACCTTCTAGCTCAAGATTCTCCCCTTCATCGGAGTATCCATCTTCTCTTCGCCGTTTTTTACCTTTCTCGTGAAGTTTATGTTTTTTGCCCATGCTCCCAGGAAGACTCTGAAATAAATATAATGCATATCAATAATCACTCACATGGAAAACAACCTTGTCACAGAAGTGTTCCTTGGGTCTATACATTAGAAGTTAACCTAAAGTACTATACTGTACTGTATAAAAATCAAAATGAAGGTAACTAAAAACAATGGTTAAATATGCCTAATAATCTAAGCCACTGCTGTGGATTCTGTCTTGGTCAGATATTTTCATCACATTATTTATATCCTCTTTATTATTTCATTATGTTTCAATCATATCCTCCTAATTCTATGTTTAGTGATACAGTCATTGAACACTTCTCTTTGGCAGATTTTGGAAGCAATATATATATTCAGTTGTAAATACTGAATGAATTTTACATTACTGACAGTATTATGTTGCGCAAAGAGTAAGAAATGTAATCAAATCTCATGAAACTTGCCCACCTCAGCCTTAAAAACCTAATGTAACTTAACCTTATTCTACCATCGGTCTCTTTGCATGCACTGCTCCTCTACTTACATTTACTGTACTTGGCCTGGCCATAACACTAAGCAGTGACTAGTGCTGACAGTGTTATTTGTGCCAATAAATTTGTTTGCTAATACCAAAATGACAAGAAAAACTATATCACAATGCAGTTAAATCATATTATTATTATAATCAAAACCAAGTGCTAAGCCCACAAGGGTCGTATAGCCAATAACTTGTATGTACCATAAAATATAAAATAATGTCCGATTTTTACCGAAGAGCATTCTTCAATTATAACCCTACACCTCTCCAGAGCAAAAATTCAGTACCTTCGGCCTATCTTCATGGGAAAGATTTCTGATACATGGGAGGATCGATCCAGCTAGATGGATCAAGATTATTATTATTATTATAATCATGGGAGAGTGCTAAACCCATAGGGATTATAGAGCCTGTGGGGGGAGAGATGGAAGGTATTCAGGCTTAATTCAGGGAACTGGAGCACAGAACCAATTCCCTAGATCAAGAGCCCCTCACCAGCATCAAGGAACCTCCCATGAGTAAGTTGGATCAAGGGTTTTCGCTTGGAAATTCAAGCTACATAGCTAAATGAATTATATACATATGACACCTAATTAGCTCAAAATCTTAAAGCTGCAATGTTTAACTTGGCTCTGTGGAGTCGCCATAGCCCATTCTCAAGTCCAGCTAGAATAAGTAATTAAGTTTATTAAGTAACATTTAAAAAAAATGAATGATTACAATTTTTCTTACATAAACTTTTTTTTTATTTCTTTATGCCATACAAATAATGTACTTTACGTGTAATAAAACATTATTAGGCACAAAAGAAAGCCACTGGCAAGCAAGTAAGTATATTTAAGCACAGGTACACATAAGTATATTTATCATACATAGTAACATGTGTATAAATTACCTAAGATAACCCCAAAAAAAAAAAAAGTCAGATGAAGTGACTGATTTCCATTTTGGCAAACTAATCCTAATGCTTAAATGTTACTTGAAATTTAGACAGAGTAACAAGTAGGATTTCTTACGCAGTTAACTATAGTCATATGTAATACCCCAGCTGGCGATACAATCAAAATTAAGAGCTAAACCCACAAGAACAGTGTATGCATAGTGACCTGTGTAACTTTATTCAAATATAGGTACACAAATAGCTACATAAATTTTCATACATAGCAACATATGTGAAGGTTACCCAGGATAACCCAAAAAGTCAGTGACTTATTTCCACTAGGGTCCTGTGCACAGGAGCTGTGACTCGACCCCTGCAAACACAAACAGTTCAAGACATTGAGGAAATTATTCGCCACTACTGGCTTCTTCAGTCCTAGACTAAGTTACCAGGATCAAAGAGTAGGTTAATGGTTCATGGGGGTTTCAAGCCTATCCACTACGCAGTAACAATAATACTTTAATACCTAGAATAAGGATTAAAGTAGGAACACTTTAATACCTAAAATAGTGATTATAGTAGACTCTTCGTGTATACATGGTGAGAAACATACACCTCAAGTATATATATCCAGTAATAACAAAAAAAAGGCACAATATATATCCATTGTCCTAGTACTGAAGTGTCCCATCAATGTCCTGAACTGCTCATTGTCTTTATCTACATAGTAAAATCATGCTGCAGCATACGCTCTAAACATTCTGAAACCTATCAGTGGTACACTCGGGGACTAGGGAGATGGATAAAGCATATTTCTTTCAGAAAACAAGAAAGTACATCTTAGCGTAGACTCACACATAGCCTCACCAACAGCTGACTTACGATTTATAACCGGATAAATTATTATGAACTTTCTTCATCCCTATCCAAAATACCGGTTAAGTTACAGAATTTTCAGCATCATGCAAAAACTGTGATAACTTTTTTTTTCTTTCATTTCTTTGAATTTTATTAATTTGTAAAATTGAATCGCTACTTTGCAGCTAAGTTACGATTTATTACCAGATACATTATTATAAATTTTATTTTCCCTGCCCAAAATATTATTAAACTTACCATAGTCTCAACTTTATGCAAGAACTTATGACAGTTCATTTAGCTTTTAGTTATTTTTTTAATTTTATTAACTTATGAAGTTTAAATCGCAAGTTTGTTTACTTTTAGCCTGACAGAGGAGGGTCTTCCAGGTATTTTTTTTTTTCAGTTTAGTTCATTATTTAGGTAAGCTGGAGATAATTAAGGGGTATTTATGAACCTCCTTTTGCCAACATTATCATAATCATTTGTTTTCAATGAGGAGATAATTGTGTCATGACGATTTTCTTACACGGGAAAGCTTATATTAATGTAAATGATGCGTGGGTATGACTGGCATTCGTATTTTAGATACCAGGAAAAATATTACGTGCCGCTGCTGGAGTGCAGACGTTTCGCTCACGGGTCCTGAGCATCGGTGATAAATTCCCTCGGTCTCTCTTCGGGACGTTTGTTCTCGTCATACATAGCTTGCTGGGCAGTTGATCTAGGGAGTCATTCATCAGCCTTTTTTTTCTGCCCCTGCAGGTTTCCAAGGCTTGAAGGAAACTTGTTTGCTGACTTGCGGTGTTTAGTTGTGAGTGGGGACATCTCGCTCAAACCTCTGCCTTGGGCATCACTGATGAATTTTCCCTATTTTCTCCCACAAGAATGAATGGAAAACTGCGTAGGGCTATTGGCCCATGCTAGGCAGGTTCAACTCGCACCCACCCACTCTTGTCACTCAGGAGTTTCTCCTCATGCATTCTAGCAATTGGCTTAGTAGTAATTAATCAGGCATCCTGTGGCTCTGTTGGCAGTGCACTTCCCTCACACACTTAGTGTCACTGAAGAACGAAAATGCATAATACCGGCATGGGTGGAAAGGGTTGGGCACCTTTTCTTACACCTGCTGTCCCTTTTCACATAACAGTAAGTAGGTACCTGAATGTTAGTCAACTGGTGTGGACCTCATCCTAGGGAACAAGACTGAAGGACCCCAATGGAAATAAGACAAACAGTCCTTGGTAAATGCACAAACTTTCTTGGTTATCCTGGGTGGCTAACCTCTGGGTTAAAAAATCCAAACAAATTTATCTTTTGCAGCAGCTCTTTCTAGGTTTAAGAAAAGCCTTTTGTTATTGCCTGAGCTGGGAGTGTAAGTGGATATCTGACAGCTGGGAGTGTAAGTGGATATCTGACAGCTGGGGTGTAAGCTAGGGAATGCAGCTATTCTAGTTGAGAGCATATTGTTTTTGTTTTCAGATGAAGCTTTGTTTCCTCTTCATTTCTAGCCCAATTTTGAGCAGTATATTTTTACCATACTCCCAGGAGGCACGGTTCAATAAGGCATAAGCTTTTGTGCCCATCAACACCAGAATTAATGCTAGAAATATTGTATATTCTCCTAGATTAAATGCACATAATTAATCATTGCATGTCTAAAACATATATTTGCCCTCAAAACCATTGTCCCAATTGTATGCTATGATTTTCCAAAACAAAAATAAAAATCTTATCTTACTGTATTCCTTTCTGAAATTCTTTCTCTTTCCTTTCTTATATTGGTACCGTAATTTTTTTCTGGCTTGTCTGTCTAAAGGGAATGGAAACCATTTTTAAATGTTTTGGTTGGAGACCAATCAAAGAAATTCAGTAATGGTTTCCATTATTTAGCACTTCCTTAAGAATAATAAATAAATACGTATATAAATATATATAAATATATAAATATAAATAATATAATATATATATTATAAATATTATATATATTATATATATATATATATATATAAATATATATATATATAATATATATATAATATATAATATATATATATATTATATATAATATTTATATATATATATATAATATATTATATTAATATATATATATAATAATATATATATATATATATATATATAATAATAAATAAATATAATATAATATATATATTAATATAAAAAATATATATTATAATATATATAATAATATATATATATATATATAATAATATATATATATATATATTATATATTATAATTATATATTAATAATTATATTTTAATAATATATATATTTATATATAATTATATATATATATATATATATAATATATATAATAAAGTGGAACCTCACTTGCGAGTTTAATCATTCCATGACCTTGCTTGCAAAATGATTGCTCGTTTGCAGAGTCAATTTTCCTCATTTAAATTAATTGAAATGCAATTAATCCGTTTGGTGAAATTCTGTACTCCAGTAATTTCGCTAATATCATCATACGGCTATTTATCTATCGCAGTTCATCTAATATGACATAACAAACAATATAAATAACATAGAAACGTGATACATACTCTAGAATGAATAAAATACATCATTATGTAACAGGTAGAGGCGGCCACAACCGCTCCCTCTTTGTTGTGGTAAACACTGCCATCTAGTGATGGCCGTTTGAAGTCGTCTATTATTTATTATTAATTATGTAGTACATTATTATTATACATATTATTATTGTTATTGTATTATATTATTATACTATTATTATTATACGTATTATTATTATTATACAGTGGACCCCCGGTTAACGATATTTTTTCACTCCAGAAGTATGTTCAGGTGCCAGTACTGACCGAATTTGTTCCCATAAGAAATATTGTGAAGTAGATTAGTCCATTTCAGACCCCCAAACATACACGTACAAACGCACTTACATAAATACACTTACATAATTGGTCACATTCGGAGGTAATCGTTATGCGGGGTCCACTGTACATATTATTATTATTATTATTATTATTATTACTATTATTATTATTATTACAGTATAAATAATTTAGTAATATTTAGTGAAGGGATTCAGGGAAACCGGTTATTTTCATATAGTCGGACTTGAGTCCTGGAAATGGGAAGTACAATGCCTGCACTTTAAAGGAGGGGTTTGGGATATTGGCAGTTTGGAGGGATATGTTGTGTATCTTTATATGTGTATGCTTCTAGACTGTTGTATTCTGAGCACCTCTGCAAAAACAGTGATAATGTGCGAGTGTGGTGAAAGTGTTGAATGATGATGAAAGTATTTTCTTTTTGGGGATTTTCTTTCTTTTTTGGGTCACCCTGCCTCGGTGGGAGACGGCCGACTTGTTGAAAAAAAAAAAAAAAAAAAATAATTTGTAATTTTTATTCACACAAAAAATATAAGATTTACTGTTATGCCTTATTCCAATAATTGTATAAATAATGGCAACCCATTCATGACTGCATATTGGAATGGACAGTGATGTCATTTGTTTACTCTTGAGCAGTCAAGCAAACGAGCATTTCTCCCTCGTTGAGCTCAATTTCTAGGTACTTTTCGTCATGAAAGCAATCAAAATCATATCTATTTCTGTAATATATCTTCCATTCTATCAAATGAGCCAAAAAAAACGAGAATACAACCATAAAAACCATACGAAAATACCGTAAGGGGTGGCTAATTGCTGAGAAGTGAATTCCATTATTTATGCTCCGATTTCTTTCATTTTTGGTGTACACTAAGAAGCATCTTTCCATCATACATTGCCCAAGTTTCAATAAGATAGTCCAACAAACAAATGAGATACAATTCCCTAGATCAAGAGCAAGAGCCCCTCACCAGTGTAGGAACCTCCCTAGAGGTCTGCTCGCTTATGGAAATTTTGCTCGCGTATGGAAGCAAAAAATCAACCCATTGACTGCTCGTATGTGTATTTGGAAAAACTCACACGTGGATGCACTCGCAAGTAGAGGTTCCACTGTATTAACAATAAATGCATTTTATACAGAATAACTATATAGTAGACCCCTAGTTTTTATAATTAATCCATTCCAGAAGATTGGCCTAAATCTGAAATGGCCGAAAACCGAAGTAATATTTCCCCTAAGAAATAATGTAAATCCAATTAATCCATTCAGACACTTAAAAATATTAACAAAAAATACATTATATAGAGAATAACTATAGTTTTACATGCAGAAAACAAAGAGAGATAAATATAAATGACTAATTTTAATGATAAACATTACATAGCTTTATTGAAGACTCTTGTTGGTGAATAGTATTTATTTGTAGTCCCAGAGGGACTACATCCCAGGCATATAGCTACATACACTGCAACCTACAGCCATATTATTACCATCGACTTACCATGCTCACTGAGTTTAATCATTTCTAACAACTACCTTTAGATGCCATTATAAACAAAGGGAGAAGTAATGAGTAATTCATCCCAAGAATTGTAAACAAAAGCCTTCTGTACGATTAAATGCGTTTACTGGGCCAATGCAAACTAATACACGTTTTCTCTGAGGCTGGACCAGAGAAAACGTAATGTTTACCCTCCACCGATCCCTCCATAGCATATAAACATTGCATGTTTATGTGCTATGGAACGTGTTTCTTATAGTAGAATTTTGAAGAAAATATCATAGATGGATTAATGAAAATATCTTTATTAACCTAAAATAAGACATTTAATGTGCCCAAGAGTGATTGTTATTAAACATATATCGCATATAAACATTGCATTTTATATGCTATGTAACGTGTTTCATTACATAATTTTGAAGAAAATATCATAGATGGATTAATGAAAATGTCTATATTAACTAAAATAAGACATTTAACCCTTAAACTGTCCAAACATAGATCTACATTCACACGCGTAGCACTCCAAATGTAGATCTACTTTGTTTTTACATAAGAAAGAATGTAAAATCGAATGTATATCTACATTCAGAGCACTACGCGCATGAACGTAGATCTATGTTTGGACAGT